AATATATTATTTTAATTAATAATAATAATAATATTTATTTATACTAAAAAAAATAAGGTAAAAAAATTATATTAATTTAAATTAGAAAAGATAATATTATTTAATAATATATGTAATAATAAATCTATAATATTTATATAATTTTAATTTATTAATTTAAAACAATATTTAATATATATAAGACTATTTAATATCAAAAATTTAATAAAATTAAAATTAATAAATTTAATAAATAATTTTAATAATAATTAAGTAATCTATTATAAAGTTTTTAATATATTAAATTAAACTTTATTATAGTAAAAATCTTTATATTTATTAATAAATTATTTATAAATAATAAAAACTTTAATTTTTAAATAAATTACAAAATTTTTATTATTAATAAAATTATAATTAATAAATTATTTATTATAATTAATAACCTATTTTATTAAAATTTTATAAAATATAAATAAATTATTTAAAATATTTTAATAAATAAAATTTATATAATAATATATAATATAAATATAATTATAATAATTAAAATAATAATAATATTAATATTTAATAAAATTTAATTTTTTATAATATTTATAATTGTATATATTAATTTATTTTTATTATATAAATATTTTATTAAATTTAATATAATAAAAAAAAAATAATTAATAATTAATATTATATTATTTTAATAATCTTATAAATAATAAAAAATTAATAATATTTAATAAATTTATAAATAAAATAATTTAATTAATGTAATAATAAAATTTAATATTAATAAAATTTTTAAAACATTTATTAATATTAACCATATTATAATAAAATTATAAAATTAGATTAAATAAATTTAAAATAATAATACCAACTATTTTTTTAACCGATTTAAATAAATAAATATATATTTTAAAAAAAAAAAAATTATTAAATAAAATAGTAAATGGTTATATATTTTAAAATATATATATTAATTAATTATTACATTTTTAAATAAATTTAATAAATAAATTTAAACTATTAATTTATAAACTTTTTTTTTTATTTATTAAAAAAATTTTTTTAGTTATTTTTATACGTTTTTAACAATATTTTATTAATAAAAATTACACTTAATTATAAAATATCCTAAATTATTAATATTAATATTAATAAATTATTAATTTATAATATTATGGTTTAACGTTAAATTTTAAGTATTTTAAAAATATAGATATATTATTTTATAAAAGGTTATTAATTTAATTTAATATAAATAAAAAAAAAGGGGGATTATAAAAAAAAACCAATTTTATTACGTTTAAAACGTCTTAAGATTATAATTTTAATTAATATATATAGTAAATTTATAATATTATATAATTATGTAAAAAAAAAAAAAATTGCTAATATAAAAACGTTAATTATGTGATTTAATTGGGATAAACCTATTTATTTTATATATATTCTTATATATTTTAATTTATAATTAAAATATATATTAAATATCATTAATAATAATTTTTATTTATTATATATATAATATTTTTTTATATTATATATAATATTTTTATCCATTTAATAAATTTTATGAAAAATGGTAATATTATATTGAAGTAAATATATGTTGTAATATATATAATTTTTAGCACTGCGAATATTTTGTAATAATATATTGAAAGATGAATTTTTGGAAGAAATGAATTACTTTATATTGATTTATATTTTTGCGAGGGATCAAACTTTGGCTTTGGTGAATGAATTTAACACATATACTACCTACCTACGATACATCTCCAGTTGTATTGTATTAGTGAATGCGTTAGGGAGTTAGTGGAATTATTAGCGTAATACGCGCCCGTTGCTCCCTTACAACGGGATGTCCCCACAGACCCATATTAAGTTTTCAGGGCAAGCTTTCCCATTGCTCAATTGCTAAAAGCTTGTGCCATCTTCTAAACAAAGCCTTAAAGCCGTTCATATCTCCTAATAACATCACCATTATTAAACATCTAGGCAAATTACGGGAACCTCACATCTAATCCCTATTGCATCATTCTTTTCACTTCTTATATCCGTTACTTTCAATATAAGCTCCTAGATATTATTGGCTTGAAATATAGTCATGTCTGTGAGAGTTGTCGCGCGGATACGTCCGCTCTTGGACAAGGAGTTGGACAAGGACGTGATCGTACATGCTGCTAGCAATGATGATGGCAAGACAAGCAATGTCGTCAAGATCCCTAATCCTAAGAATGAATCCGAAGAGTTCTCTTTCACGTTCAACGGCGTGTACGATCAATTGACAACTCAAGAGGAGCTATTTGCAGCTGAAGGTAAATTTTTATCTTGTTCCCTTTCCTTCACCGCTCTCGTTGCTCTTCACGTAGAAGATGTTCATGGCTTAACCCTATCGCTTTATAGTCTCCCCTCTTCTCAAGTCCCTCTTTCAAGGCCTCGATCTTACGATATTTGCTTATGGTGTCACCGGAACCGGAAAGACTCACACAATGCGTGGTGGATTAAAATTGGCCGAGCGAGGTGTTATCCCGAGACTCCTTAGTGGTGTCTTCCGTAGAGCTAAGAAGATCGCCAAAGATTCCGACGGCGAGACAACGGTAGACGTTGCACTTTCATATTACGAGATTTATAACGATAAAGTCTTCGATCTCCTCGAATCCCCTGAGAAACGGACACCGTCGGGTTTGCCTCTCCGTGCAGAGGCTAATGGCAAGACTGTTGTTGCTGGGTTATCTGAACGCCCTTGCCAGGATCTGAAGGACTTTGAGCGATTATATATCGAGTCTAACAATAACCGTATCACTGCAGCTACAAAGCTTAATGCTCATAGCAGTAGAAGTCATGCTATTTTGCGTGTCAAGCTTACCCAGACAACAGGAGATATGGTTAAGGAGAGCACAGCATCTGCCATTGACTTAGCTGGTTCGGAGGACAACCGGCGAACAGAAAATGGCAAGGAGCGGCTAGTTGAATCTGCTGCTATCAACAAAAGCTTATTTGTGCTAAGTCAATGCATTGATGCCATCTCAAGAGGAGATCGTCGGATACCTTTTCGGGAGTCTAAGATGACGCGAATCCTCTCCCTCGGCCAAAATAACGGCATTACCATCATGATTCTGAATCTTGCACCAATCCGAAGCTACCATCTTGATACACTCAGTAGCTTGAACGTGAGTTCGAGAGCTAAGCGAATCGAAGTCCGAGAAATCGAAAACGAGGTTGTATTCAAACAACCGCCTCGTTCTAGCTCCAACCCTAGCTCAGGAACAGCTCGCCAGCCCTTGCGGCCCCTTGCGAATGTGCATAACATCCATTCGGGGACAGTGGCAGCAAACAAGGCAGCAGACAAGGCAGCAGACAAGCCAGATCGCCCCGTCAAAGCATTCAGTGTCTTTTCTGATCGATCGAAGCCGCAACCTGCTTTGCGGCCGACAGCTAATACTATGATTAAGCGATCACCACTCCAGCATAAGCGCCCTTCGGATTCCGATGGTGGTAGCCGGCCATCTAAGATTACCCGCCCAGCATTGGTACCCCGGTCGGCTAAACCTTTACAGCCAGCTCAACCATCCATATCTGCTGATCAGATAGAGGCAATGGTAGAGAAGAAGGTTAGCGAGATCCTCGCATCTCGAACCCAGGCTGCTCCAGCACCACCCGAGATTAACGAGGCCGTCCAGAGACGTCTAGAGGCTCTAGAGAAGCGTATCGAGGACACGCGTCAGGACGACTCGCGCTCGGATGGACTACGATTCTTGCTCATGGCACGACAACATAAGGAACGTGGCGAAGAAGCCAGCGCTCTTAAGATGTATGAGATGGCACTACCTTATTTCCCTGGTCAGGCTAAGCTTCTTGGGAAGATTGAGAAGCTGAAGGCTCGGCTGCAGGCGAGACGTGAAGTTCCCGGTGAAATGGGAACCGAAGTCGACGAATATCTAGTTAAAAAGCATAAGAAGCTTGACCAACAGATCGTGGACGACGATGATTTCAACGGCCTGGAGGCAGAGGACGACGAGATTTATATGGGTAAAGGACGTAAGCAAGGAAAGAAGTCTAAGGCTACAAAGGCACCTGCAGGGGAATATTCTGCGGTGGAAGAAGGTCCCGTATCACAGAATTTGCTAGAAATCGTGAACTCGCGAGATATCGCTCTGATCAAGAGTCTCCAGGGCTTCGGACCCAAGAAGGCTCGGGATCTAGTAGACTACTTAGAGCTACTAGCTGAAGAGGATGGGGGTCGTATCGATTCACTAGAACAGCTTAGAGCGGTCCCTGGGATGGGTGGTCGCGCGGTAGACCGCGCGTACGAAGGTTTACTTGCATCTTCCGGTGTTGCTTGTTAAAAGAGCATTTTCTTTGGTCTAGTCACCTTAGACTTCATATATCGGCTGGCGGTTCTCTTTGCATTTAGGGTCGAGCCAAACCAAGCTTGCATAGGCGTGGCGTCATAGGAGCGGTAGCATTTGCTAGGGTTACAAGTACTGGTTTCCATTATTTTCCAAAAGGGTTCTTTGCATCATTCGGAGGAATGTGGATGTCAGTAGAGGGAGGAGACCTTTCACTTAGAATTGACGGTCAATAGGACCTAATTTTAAGTGGATGCATCTAGAGAGATGCTAGGTAAGAGGAGGACTTGAGTACCTTAGTAGGTAGATAGGTGAAATATTACAGATTGGCTGATTTAGTTGGATGTTTTAAATGTTGTGATTTCTAGGTGTAATATCTATGTAAGTCTTATACCCATAGATCTATGTAGATTGGACCTATGTAGGTAGATATACCTAGGTACCTAGGTACTTAGGTATATCGTAGCATAAAATGCACGAGCCACATATATTAGCCGCTACATGATTACCTAATGTAGTTCTCGTCCAATCGGGCTAAAGATTAGATAGATACATCAGGTAAAGTACCTCTTTGAAGCTCGAATATTTGATATTTCTATTTTTTGCTCATTCGTCATAAGTTCCCGCGAACCACGGTCATATTAACCACCTCCCTTTGAGACCGCCACCATGCGCGGCGTCTCCCTCCTAGCTAAAAGAGGGCGCATAGATCAATTGGGACTTCGGAGAGGTTACATTTGTTGCCAATGTAGAGCTATTCAGCTCAGCTCCTCTCCCACTACCGGGTCCCCTCGCCTCGGGGGAGATGTCTTCGGCACGTCTATTGATGTCTCTAAAGATGTTGCGGGTACCTTTACCAGCTTTTCGACTCGTTTTTTTGAGCAGTAATGCTTATACGGTGCTTTAGATGCTAGATTCGAAGTGTTAGGGACACCATATTCCCTCCTCTCGGTGTCTCTGTCGGCTTCGCAAAGGCTGTACACACGTCGCGGAACATTAGTCGCAGTGTCGGGTAAAGCGCAAAATGTGAGATGATACAATATTTCAAAGCCTTATAGAGAACATAACTAAATCAGCCGGATTAGGCGCAATCGACTCTCTCCCTACTCTCACCTTTTACGCGAGCCGTCACCGGCGTCCCCTTCCTCTACCAACGCATATCCTCTACAACTCCGCTCACGGCATTAATATCTACGAAGTCGCCTACAACCACATTTTCCGTACTACACCTTGATGGGACAACAGATTGGATGGTGGCGCAAAGATCGGCTCTTCTTGCGTGGACTGGGCATTCGCTGAACGTAACTCCCCGAATCCAATATCGACTCCCAATCGCCCACTGGGGCTCGTCCGAGTTGACCGGCCGGGGACTTGCTGCATTATCTGCACCAGGACACATATATCAACTTACTTTGGCAGAAGAGGAGGAATTTGTAGTTCACCCCTCGAACGTGGTAGCTTATACGGTCACCAAGCACCCGCCTTTGCCCTTTAGATTCAAGAGCTCCGGCATTAGATTCCAGGTACCTTCGATTACGACATGGCTAGGGGATACCAAGTTCCTCAAGACAATGCGCGGGTCCGAAACTTACAAGTTTCTCTCCCGAGTCTTATTTGGTCTCCGCACGACAGCGAGACGTACGATATGGGGCGATAGGCTATTCTTGCAATTCCGGGGCCCAACCACGATACTCATGTCGAGTAGAGGCGCTCGAATTAGCGACGTACTCACAAATGCAGACGTCAATGAGCTTGCCGACGCCCCTATGGGAGAGGTCCCTGCTACCGTAGAGTTGGTAACGAAGCCGAAGCCCGACGTCACACCGAAGACGAATGATGCGGCGGAGGTCAAGATACATGTGGCGAGTGTTGGACAAGACGGGAAGGTCTCGTTTGCCGACGCCAAAAACCTGAAAGATTTTGAGAAGTCATGACAGATTTGCAGTTCTACCGTCATTAAAACCTGAATAAATTATTGTATCATACAGCCGGCCATAGCGTAATGATTACCGGGGGTTCGTTTCCTCCTAGTTCCCTTGGTGAAATTTAAGAAACATTACATGATATACTATCGAAGTTGTAGCATAAACAAAAACCCTAATAATTAGGTCGGCATTTTGCTAGTTGCACTTCACATACGTAACAATTATCTTAGAGCCCGGAGAGCATCGGGCATTTCTATCGGAGCACATATCGAAAATTATCGGCCGATTTTTTTTATGTCCGTATGGACCGCACTAAATTATACGTCATATAAGGTGATAGGTAGATCAAGCCACCAACAATTATTATTAAGTATAGGTATTTACTAAGTCCCTAAGATATTCAACGTGAAATGACTATAACTTCGAACCCCAATATCATTAGTTATAGTTTACATACTACCAAGCCTATAAACATGTGGTCGAAGGCCTAGAACATAAAATTATTATTATTAGAATATTTAAATCCGAGCAACTTTAATCCCCATCTCCGAGCAAACGCGTACTTCTAGCGAGATCTTGGTACATGATATGACAAGATCTAATCTTAACTCTATCCCGTTAGTGCGAACCAGGAATCTTCAAACGGGACTATATGAATTTAACCATTTTACTAATTCTATTGGTTCTACGCATTGCATTAGCTCCATACTAACCCGCTAAGTCTTGGCATACATTTACACACGGACCCGCGTATCCAGATTTGTAAGAAGTTCGGCTTTCGCGCTTCGTTACACCACCGAAATCAAACCAGGTTAGGAGGCAGTTATCTATGTATTATCATGCAACGTCAGTAGACTAATGATTTGAATGCTTCCTTCGAAGAGACCAGTGATAAGGATCTCTTCAGCTAGTTGCTAAAATCCTATGCTAGTAGTATAGTACAATGCAGTATTGAATAAGATGATATATTAGGTAGCTGACAGTATGGTAGATATGGATATAACTTGGGATAATCAGGTATCTAGTTACCGGTAAATTTTCCAGTAAACTCACATCTCAACTCCTACTTGTATACCCCCCCTAATTGTCTCTTACATATCTTAGGTGCCGAACTCACGCAATATCACGTATATAATGACATAGGCTTTAGTTAACACATGTGAGTAGCTATCTTAGGGTATAGCAACCGTACGAAGTCACCAATAAGCCCACTTTCTCTACTTTCAGCTGGGAACAAGTCCCACTTAACCATACCCGTATGAGATTATATTATAGTGTATCTACAAGGGGACGGTGGAGACGAACCCATCCCGTTGACTCAATAACTGTGCGAAAGAACCCTGACAACGCGTGCCCGCGCCCTAGTCATTGGGTTTTAAAACCGAGACCCTAACATATGCCCCGAGTTTCTCGGGCTCCGTCATGTACTTTGGCTGGTTGCCGTTTCATATAAGAGTTTGGGCAAGCCTCGTAAATAGATTAGTCGTCCTATAGTAGACAAATAGAGATATCCCGTTAGAGTGGCCTATGTTCTACAATACCAAATCACCTACTCTCTACAGAATACGTCTCTTGACATCTACGTAGTTATAACCAGCAGCCCCTGTCCTTGGGTCCCTGCATCTAGACAACGCGACCGGTATCTTCTTCCCCCCTTTAGTCTCCTGAGATGCAAGTGCCGACTCATCACACCCAGGAGACGCCGGTCTCGTTATCTCACGACATCTCCCAGGCCAAAACCCCCGGCTACGACTCGGAGACGTCGACGATGAAGGATACGCCGTCCTATCTGCCCAAAACCTCGGGCGAGCCGACTCCGTACGAGTCCACGCGGCACTCCCTCGAGCGCATCCCGTCACAAGCCAAATCCACCAATGCCAATATATTCCCCGACCCGGAAAATGTCATCGAAGCAGATAGTAAGATTTTTTTTTTTTTTTGAGATTCCTCTGCATTAGGTAGTCGTAATGACTTCGTGCTGACTCGAGATGCTATAGTGGAGAAAGGCGGCGTGGCGCCACATACGCCCGGTGCCGCACCCGGCTTCAGCCCGGCCGACTTCCCGGATGGCGGCCTCGAGGCCTGGCTTGTCGTCGCTGGTGGCTTCTGCGCCCTGTTCAGTACCTTTGGATTAGTGAATTGCGTGGGGTCGTTCGTCAACTACTACGTCTCGGGGCCGTTGTCTAACTACAACGCGTCGACTGTCACTTGGATCACTTCGATTCAAGTATTTATGATGTCTGGCTTGAACGCGGTCGTAAGTAATCCTAACTGATGTTCCTCTTTCTTCTTGATCTATATTTGAATAAATGACGGCTGACATGTCTTGATATTTGTAGATGGGCCGATTGTTCGATAGCTACGGTCCTCGGTGGCTCCTCATCATTGGAACGCTAGTGTTCTGCTTCGGGTTGATGATGTTGTCCCTCTCGACGCAGTACTACCAGATCCTCCTCTCGCAAGGCATTGTAAGCGCGGTGGGCATGAGCGCGGTGTTTAACTCGGCAATGAACTCGGTCATGGGCTGGTTTTTCAAGCGACGCGCTGCGGCCCTAGGGCTAATGGTGTCAGGCTCATCGCTCGGAGGTGTGATTCTACCCATCATGATGAACCACCTTATCCCTCAGATCGGCTTCCCCTGGACTGTGCGCGCCATCGCCTTCATGCTCCTGGCCTTGTGCACCTTCGCCTGCTGCACCGTCAAGTCCCGTCTTCCACCTCGTAAGAGACCATTCAAGTTCGCGGAATACATACGACCTCTTCACGAACCAGCCTTTGTGTGTATAATTCTTGCCGGCTTCTTCTTTTTCTTCGGCATGTTTTTACCATTTAATTATATCCAGTTACAAGCCCGACAGCAAGGAATCGACGCATCTATTGTACCATACCTCCTACCTATCATCAACGCCGTCAGTGTTCCAGGCCGTATCTTACCCGGTTTCCTAGGCGATCGATTTGGACGTTTCAATGTTATGATATTCATATCGGGGCTGTCAGGCATAATCACACTGGCCCTATGGGTACCGGGCAAATCAACAGCTACAACGGTCGTGTACGGAGCCGTGTTTGGATTCGCATCCGGTGGTTTCATCTCGCTATTGCCTGCCGTCATCGCGCAGATAAGCGACATTCGCGAGATTGGCATACGCAGTGGCATTGCATTCTTCGTGTCTTCACTCGGCGCCTTGACGGGCTCACCTATTGGTGGCGCCATCGTGAATGCCAACGGCGGAAGTTTCCTAGGCCTTCAGCTGTTCTGTGGCATTGTGATGACCATATCGATGCTATGGTTTATTGCAGCGAGAACTATACAAGTCGGCCTCAAGATCACCAAGATCTAAATACGAAACCAGAGGATTAACTAACGAACGGGGCAAGCGATTTTTGCCTGACTATATCTCATTACGAGGTTTTTTTTTACGAGGCTATTTATACTTATGGAAAGGTTTTCGCCTTGATAAAGCCCGGTTTTAATGAATGCTAAAATGGATAATGCATTTAGGGGCGTTATATTTGCATATGATAGACAATACCCAGCTCAGTGTTGTCACTACATAGGTATATGATCTTAGGGGACTCACATATACCCAGCAGGATAGACAGAAAGATATAATATAATCAGAATATAAAACGAGTAATTTATATAATGTATTGCCGTACACGACTTATTTGATTCGTTTCATCCCTGGATAATACTTAGGTTCGAGAGTAGGTGTAACCTCCGGGTCTTGGATTCAGCGTCTCTGTTCTAATTTCCAATTATGCAGTGAATATACAGCTATGGGAGGATCACGAGTATTACAGCGTAGAGCTTCTCGAATATAGAGATGACCAAGGCTGACAATGAAAAAGCGAGGTATCCTAGACAAACAAATAAAAAGTATCAAAGAAAAACGGCATGCTGATCCAAGGAAACAAAATACGCAAGCTTATTTGAATAACCAATCATATTAGTAGTTGGACCTATTCTACTTGTAACTCTTTCTATAAGGATCACATTACACCTAAGCCTAGAGGTAGAGAGACAAAGACTATTAAACGAAGATATAGAGTACCCTACCCTTCGGTCATTTCCCTCTAAATACCTGCATACGGCAAAATAACCATTACTATGAAATCAAATATTAAACTCACAGTATACGAGATCACTTCGGTCATGAGCGAGATCCTAGCATAGGCAACTGGCCAAATCCTAGTCTTGGCTGTCACAGACCTCGTATCTTGACTAATGTCAACGCGGGAATGTACACGCGGTGAAGGGCGGTTATACCGCCAGAGCCGCCGCCGACGGAATAGAACTGAACGGCATATCTTGGAAACCATAATATTGTTAGAACTCTTGTCTCGCGATAGTTTTCAAGACCCGATATCTGAAGTTAGGGGTAAGTGTTTCACGCCGTTAACAACTCCTTACATAATAATATGACTAACAGGGGTTTAATGCTAGTGGTAACGGGCTTCCTCCCGATCAGAGGTAATTAAATAATTGTAATGGAGATGGGCATTTTGTATTTCAAGCGCTTTTAGTTGTAGTCGAGTTAGTTACACCCTTATATGAGTCTGGAATAGAATCGGAAGAGACAAAGAGGTGCTTTTTATGAACCGGAGGACACAGGGCGTTGTAACCATATATATGAGCGAAGTTAGAAATAGACTTAGGAGCTAGGAATCATGTGTATTTATTGGACTAAACTTCGAGCTTCTTACAAGTATTGTGTACGCAACACGAATTCAAACACCAAAAATGATACTAATTTGATTATTTTATTTGACCATAGAAATAGCAACTAACATATATAAAGGGTTCGTGACGAGCGAGTACTTAAACTTACCAAGTTCTACGCTATGAATAATTAGTTTTCTAGCCTATCCGAATAGTACGCCATAGGACGACTCCGGCCCGAGCCCATCAATGAAATATGGTCAATAACCACACCCGGACCCGGAGGCTAGCAGCCAAATCTTAGATTAGTGAGCATTATAAAGGGACCAGCGGGGGCTTTTCGAGAATCGGAATGGCATGGCGTTTCATTGCATGGCTCATGGCATTGGTGTTCACGCTTTCGGCTTAACCCATGTTCCTAGCTCCCGCCAACTATACGAGCTATCTTGGCATATTAGCGATGGATATTTACCTACCAATGTACTCCATACCAAAAATCATAGCTGTTCCCATTGATAGTTCAAACGAATAAGAAAACCACCATGAATTGGATCCGGAGAAGTGTAGGAACGGCCCTGGTGGTTGTTGGTGGAGGCGGCGCCTACTTAACTATGACGACGAACTTAATATCAACACTACCGGCAGACGACAATTTATGGTCCAGCAGGAGTTTCGTTCATTTGAATCGTCATCGTAATCCGGCGATTCAGGATTACGTTTGGAAGCGTCTGCCTCTATCCAAAGTCAGACCTGATCTCAGAGACGACGAAGAAGCCATAGCAACTGAGTTTTGTCGTGGCGTGTGGGCTGGATACGGTACGTCGAGTATTCTCGGATAGGTTGAATACCTGTAACGAAAGCATCCAAGCTAATTAGTCACTTTGCTTCCAGCATACATACCACAACGCATTCTCACAACGCTTTCTTTAAAAAGCCCCAAGACGATAGACCAACTCTTTGATCAACAACAATTGGCGTCGTCTAAATATGACCTCGGGGTACGCTTTTCAGACCAGTTCGAGGTAATGGAGAGGACAAGCAATTCTGTCACAATAAGAGCGGGAGGTTCACCACTCGAGCCGGGTCCACGCGAATTCGACGGGATACTCATTTTGAGTGCTAAAGTGAATAAAGAAGATAGAACGGTCGAAGTCGGTATAAAGACGGCATTCTTCAATAGCGTGGCACCCGTACGCGATGGGAAAATGCCATCCCCTTTTGTTGTTGAATTGCTTCATCGATATTATGCCCGGGCGCTGGTAGATAGCGGAGTACGAAGACTGACGCGATCAAGTCCGTGACATCCCTGAAATTTTATAAGTTCTGAATGGACAACTCGCTTACTTACGTCGTGTATGAAGTACTGAATAACTAACGAAATACTCAACTCAGTTTTTTGAATGAATATTAATGAGGAGTGTAAATAAAAGGGGTAAATGATGATTAAATGAGTGAAATAATATTATGGTAAATTAGACATGAGAGAAAGTTGTTAAAGATAATATAATTATTTCGTAGAGCCAATAATATGATTCTTATCCTTTCATGACGTCATTCAAATTATATTTTGTCGGAGCATTTCTTCCTGTCCATTGAAACATGTCAACACATTACCTAAAGTAACCCGTATGAATACGTACCTAATCTATTTGAATCTAGACTTTTCATAAACTTTGGCTTAACATCATCACCATTCACCTTCTCGTCGTCTTGCACCGCCTGGCAAAAAAATGAGTCTATTTCCAACATGACTCGACGTGAGACTCTAATCTCTCGCTCCATAGTTTATGCCATTTTAACGGCCAAAGAGGATGGAAGACCTGCTCGGAAACCTTCTCTTTTAAGGAGAGCTCTTCGCCTCTTCTATTTGTATTGGTTGTCCTTCCGACTAGTACGGGAAGATTTATTTAAGCCTCTGCGTGGCATATGGATGATTAACGAGGATAGCTATAAGGCCAGCTTTAATGTCAGGAAGCAGATTGACAAGAAGAATAAAGGTGTTCTAATACCGATGGGTGATATGGGTTACAGCGGCTCGACATTCTTCTGCACTAATGACGGTGCCTATCTGGTGAAGTCGGTTCCTCGACATTTTGAACATGACTTCTTCAAGAATGATATGCTCATACCTTACACCGATCATATGCGCGTCAACCGCTCCAGTCTATTAGTGCATATCACCAATTTTCTCGAGAGCACCCACAGGACTATAGGCACGCTGTTAGGCCTTGCGCCAAGCCATCACATCGTCATGGAAAACATCTTATACGGACAGGACCAAGAGCCTCAGGATGGCCCGAAACCGAAATGGGAGTCGTGGGATCTAAAACCCACCTCCTATTTCTTCCCCGAGAGAGATATCGCCGGGGGAGCGTTAGCTTCCCAGGCTACAAAGTCCAAGCTCGCCGATGAATTCAACGACAAGATTCGACTCTCCGAAGCACAAGCTACTGAATTTGAACGTCAGATAGAAAATGACACTCTCCTTCTTGCGAACTGCAATGCCGTCGACTATTCGCTCTTTCTCGTTCGGATATCTGCATCAGACGCTCCGACGATAGAACCGGAACCCCTAATCCAGTTAGAAGAGGCCGGCGATGAACCCACCCCATCTGTCCAGCCACCTTTCACACCACCGAACCCACCGAGCTGGAGGACGGGAGTCGTATCGAGCGACGGTAGAGAGATTTACAGAGCTTCCATCTTGGATTTCTTCTGGGCCAAGCACACAATCCATGCAAAGGCAATGACTACGTTAGTCCGAGGCTATAACCTCATCGACGACCGAGGGCCGATGAGCATCACCACAGATAGCGAGGAGTACCGAAACAGGTTTTTAGATATGTGCAAGGGGATCGTAGAAGTACAAGTATAATGTTAGGTACCTAAGCAATCATTTTCTAGAGTTGGTTTACTACATACGGTGGCGTTATATACAAGGAAGGACTTGATTATCGGATTTTCTTTCCTCCTTGGAGCTGGGCGGGCATAACAGATACCCCTATATATCTCTACTACTTCTCTACTGCTATGGTCGTTAGTAATATCACAAGGCTCTCATAGTCCGCGATTTCCTATCATACCCTCCTTTGATGCTCGCATAAATATCCTTTTGTTGCGTAAAAGAGACGACGGGAAACGAACCATGAGAGCACCTCCCCGATTTAGATTTAATCATGAAAAGAAGCAAGATACCTTAACAAAGACATGTTGTTATATCATAATTCAATTATTCTGACGAAGCCTCTTTATTCGAAGTCGAGACGTCTTTGTCGATATATAAAATACATATTCTACAATATGTCCTCTTTAAGTCCAACAATCATATTCAAGTAAGCAGATATACCGACCTACAGGTTTTCGTCGGGCTATTCCCTCGTCAAGGTAGCGTAAGAAAAACCCCTTTAGAAGTTCTAGTCATGTCAACTACGCTCCTCTCCTTATACTGCGCCGCCACTTATCTATTTCCACTTTCCCCTCTCCCTTTCACCAAAATGGGTAAGAACTACGACTCTACCTCAGAATCCTACTTACATCTCCGGGACAGGTTGTCCAAGCTTTTCAGCATGGACCCTACCGAGGTACTGGTGTCGCACTGGGAACTATTCTGGCGTTGGCCTATCCGCGCTATCATCATCGTCATAGGTTGGGGTCTTCAAGACTTGATACCAGACGCGGGAGATCTTGTGCTGTGCACGGAATTATAGCGAGGTAGGCGAAAGAGTGGTCTTCATAGAGATAAGGGGCGAATGATGGTGGATAGAGTTCGAACTGGTAGGTATGCAAGGTGTAGATACGTTTTGCCTTATGAACGACCGTCTTGTGGCAGAAAACAGCTAGGAAATTGGTAGGTAAAGGAGCGTAGGTGATGAGGTAAATGAGAAGGTCGGATAAGGGGTAAAGTATCACAAATTTACTGTGGTCTCGGCCTTGGTTTATTGGACCTGAACATTTTATTAACTTAACAATACCCAGGTATTAATAGGCACTATACCGCCTCATAGTCAATAAAATTAATAAAGTACAAGATATACCAGGTGTACAGAATTAGAAGCTATCAGCATGGGATTTCGTCATAAACATCAACAGATATTACTCAGTCCAGAAACCATCTCAAACATCAAAATGTTGCAACGTACAGTCGTCTACTCGTTCAATATGGATATTCACAACAAGGAGCAAGCTTTCTCCAAACTATAGAACAGATGTGATATTTACAGCATAGCAAAAAAAAACAAGGAGCCAAACGTGCGCCGTTCTGCGGGTATCAAGTTATCCCCTTGATCTTCTAAGGTAATACAAAGTAACCCCTCTCATCCACCCCCTCACTTTTGTTACATTGAATCGCTAGTACCGAACTCGAACTCGAAAATTGAAATTATGTATGATATAACCTTCGTCCATCTTCTGGCCTAAGAGTTTTTGGATTCTATTCGGCCTGAATGGCTAAGGCACCCTCTGGATCATGGACATCATCGTCCTCATCGCTGAGGTCCTCGCCGTGTAGAGCGCGGTTTGCGTTGTCGCGCTCAGCGTAGATTTCTATACGCTTCGTCCTAGCATGCTGTAAGCAATCGACATACGTCCTAAACTTAACAATCTCACGCAACAAATAACTGCTCTTCCGCTCCCAGTTTGCCATCGCCTTGCCAGCGTTATGGCCACGGGGTGTAAAGGCTAAAAGCATAGGCGATCTGAGTTGATTGTGTTTCTGGAGGTCTTCTTCAATAGATTTAACGTAAGACTCTAGGATCTCGAACTGCTCATCTTCGGAGGCGTTGCTAGGACGTAGAGATTGTGCTGGGGCGGACCATTCAGCAATATGGATTCGGTCGCCTGGCAGTTTAGCGCGCGAGCTACCACTGACGTCAAACGACGAACGAATGCTGCTCTGGAGGCTGCCTTGACGACTATGCATGCTCGTGCGACCTGCTGCTGCGCTACCTGGGCGCACAGGAGGGGGTGGCTCGTTGGTAGCTGATATAAGGGCATTATTGATAATTGCATCACTCCAGCCATATTCCATATTGCTGACACCACCGACTAGCGGATGCGTGCTTAATCGAGCACTCCAGTAGTTGACCGCGAGAACGAATTCCTTACTAATCTCGGGAGTACCAACCTGGAAGAGGTGTACAGCGCCGCTGGGCAAACTGAGAGCCCAAACATTTGGCCGACTGCGAGAATAACCGGGCGGGGGTAGGGCGGATGCGAGTGTTTGGCGAAGCGAGAAAGACCCGACACTGGTAGCATTCTCTTGCCAGTTTCCACCGCCAACAACGGCACCAGGAGCGTGCTTGCGGCCAACGCGAGCCTTTTGGCGCATTGACTTGGTCGAGAAGGAAAAGAGGCTCATTGTTCCCTTTTGGACGACGGCAAAAACCTCGACCCAATTCCTCTCTTTGGCTTTCTTATCTACGCCATCTAGATGGTGCTTGTGAATGAGAAGACCTTCTTTCACCCAGGGCGAGCCAGCAAGCTCGAGCGATTCATCATCGAGGAGTTGATTACTTTGCACCTCTTCGCTCATGATGGATTGTCCACTGGTGCCTGGTGGGACATCTTCACGTATTATAGCTTGACTTAGAGCATTAGCAAACCCAATTGATTGCTGGTAGTCACCGTGCGGGTATGAATTGAACGAGTCGATAGACATCGAAGTCTGGGTCCTACCCAACGAGTAACGGCTCCATGTAGCAGATGAGGTAGTAGGACTCCAGATTGAATTACCATCTTCGAAACTTGTACGGCTCGAAGAGAGTCCATTGCCAGGGAACCTCGGCCTGGATCGACTCTTTGAATTCCATCTACTTCCAGGATTGCGAGTCGGGTCAGCGATCCTACCGCGCACAGAGATGTGGCCCTCGGACGGCGTCTTTGATAAGACGCTTGGGCTGCGCTTGAGCATACCCATGACTGAGAGGCTACCTTGCGCTTGGCTCTGTGATTGACCCGGCTCAGCTCCAAAAAGAGGGAGTCTTTCATCACGAATTGAAATATAAATATCTTTTAATACAAGCTCCATCTGCTGGACCCACGCCTTCATGGAGCCTTCAAACGGAGTCTTTACGAGCGGTCCGCACGTGTCAACTGGCCCGTCTGAGTAGTTGCCCATCGCCGACTCTGATCGTGGTAGTGGCATGAATGATGATCTCCAGCTGGGCCGCTCTGGTTCCGGTTCAAAAGCAGTTCCGATGTCTGAATCAGAGGGATTCAGTAAACTGTTCTTACCGGGCAAGATGCTAGCCCGGTCAAACGCTTCAGGAACAGAGTCGGCTATGGCATGCTTAACAGTAGTCATGGTGTTCTTGACAAACTGGCTCTTGGTCATCTTCTGGTCAATATCTGCCAAATGGAGATCGGTGTTCAAGAGCATGATTGAATAACACAAAGTATGTATTACATCTGCAATGCGTTAGTCATAAAACAACGATGTGGTTCAGCTTACTTACCAGTGGTCTTGAAACCGTGGTTGGGGTTACATTCACACCACCGATTTGAAAATGCGACCAATATCCGATCAACCTGCTGTGTCTCGGCCCTGAAGACTAGACGACTACATATTTGTCGCAAACTAGCAAGAACACTTTCATTCGTAAAGTCATAGAGATCAATGTATGCCTTTAGGGTCCTTTGTCTCACAAGACCCTCCTCTCCCATCCAAGCGGCTGCCTTCTCCTTTTGGATGAAATCTTCGTTTCCGTCGAATATCTTCTGGGCTTTCTGCCGCTCGTCCTCTGTCGGCTCCCCTACCAACACCTCAGGCTCATCCAAGGGCGAACCCACGACCTTTGGGCTACTTTCAACACTGTCTACCTTGACACTAGGTAAGCCATTGGCGGACTTATTAAGTGAACCGGGGAAAGTAGACATCCTCTTAGGACCATGGCGACTGCTAGTAACTTTGTGGTCCTCCTCTTCAGGTGTGGCATTCTGTTGAAGCAGCAAGTTGGGTGATGGAGTGGGTCTAGATTCTTCATCTCTATTATCATGATGTTCGTGGCTTCCAGTTCCCTCAAATCCACCTTTTGGATCATCCATTTTTGTAGAAGACTTGCTGCTTTGTCGTTGCTGTTGTTGCTTGCGCGTTCCACTAGGCCACGACTTTTCGCCCTCATCACTACTATCATTGAAGAATGTCGCGTCACGAGCCTCGGTTGATTTCATAGGAGGTAATTCAGGGAGGTCTCGCATTGACATTTCCATTTCGGACCGTCTACGGGCAGCGTCCTGATTTCTTAAGGCCGAGGTAGATTTTACAGTCCGGATAGTAGCATTCGGACTGGGCTCATAGTCGGGAGAAAAGCCTCGGGTTTTACGAGCATGTTCATCATCCTGCGACTCGTAACCTCGTACCCGCGGCGAACCCTCAGGTCCTGGAGATAAAAGCGCGCCAGGCACAGACGATGTATTCTCTTGTAAAAATGGACTCATGATCTCGCGTAAGCTACTAACAGGACTAGATTCACGTTGAATAGCTTGTTCTTTAATTCGACTAATCTCCATCGGCGTGGGTACCGGGGGCGGTGGTACTGGAGGCTCGGCTATAGATTTCTTCCGCCTTCTAAAGAACGACGACTTCTTATGGAGAATCTGAGGCGGGTTGGATGGTCGTTGCGAATCCCTTGACGGAGGGGTCGATTGGGCTTTCGTCTGCGATGCTATATGCTGTAACTTGTTAGATTGCTCGACGCTTTCTGCTGGCGTCGATGTGGTTTGCGCCGGCTTAGCCTCCGGGACATTTGTGCTATTCCGATAGCCAAATATCCTACTGAAAAAGCCCTGCTTCACCTGCGGTGCTGGGTTCGGAGCGCTATGCAAAGCCTCCTTGGACTTCTCGTATCCGATATGTGGTGCAGGTGCAGCATCTAGATC